ATTTATTAATTAAAAATTAATTTTAATTATAAATTAATATTATTATATTTTATAATTACTAAAAAGATAACTATGAACAAGAATCTAGTTATTTTTTAATAGAGGCAGTAAAAATGATTTTTTTATAGGCTAAGGCTAGCTTAAGCTCGCCCATAAATAACTCCATCATTCAAATTTATCCAATAAATTTAGCGCACTAAATAGTAATTAAAAATTCAGGAAAAAAAATTATGAGTATTTAGAACATTCCACGTAATAAAAATTCCAAGACAAAAGCACCTATAATTTTGGTTGCTTTGATCGGTGCACTTAAATTTATGGTTTCGGTCAAAATTCAAAATTGTAAAATTGCACTGTGATAGCCCTCCCCCTTGTTAAAAAAAAAAAAAATGCAAGACAAAAAATCAGGGCTTGCAAATCAATGGTTTGTTTTTAAACCTTAACTGCTCGTTTGGAGGCCTGGACAAATTGCGGGATTGGATAAAAAATTATCTTGTCCAACTTAATCTCATGATTTGAGGGTACTCGGGATAAGATAAATAGTATCCACTGATTTATCCAATCCCATACTCAAGAGACAAATTCAATCCCACCATACCCATGGGATACGAATGGATTGGATTCAATTTACTGATTCAACCCCTTTATTCTCACTATTTTCTTCCTGATGGCTCGCCTCTCCTCTTCTTAACTTTGGTATGAGAAAATGGAGCTCCAGTTAGATCTATATCTTTGACAGCTTCACAGATCTAGTGCAGCGAAAAAAAAGTCTCTCCGATCGTCAGAAAATCGACTGCAAAATCCGATCATCTTCATCTCTAGCAAGGTGGTCCGATGGCGTAATCAGCAAAAATTGGAAGATTTGCTATTAGTAATTTCGCACATTGCTTCCCTACTTCTTCATCCTAATTCAACCTATCTTTTGTTGAAATCAAAGAACCCAACTGAAAATCAAGTTAAATACCAAAACCTGTGACTGAAAAAAGGTACGCTAGACCTGTTGAAGAAGATGAACAAGAGAAACATGAAGGAGGCATTCGGGTATCTGCTTGTTTTCGAGAAAATAAAAAAATAGAAAGAAAAGTGTTTAATAATAATTGATAAATTAAATAATTAAATAAGGAAACAGAATTTGTTTGGTTAATTAATGAAAATTAATTTTGTTAATAAGTTAAAGTAATGAAAATTAATTTTATTAATAAATCAAAATTATATTATTGTTTAAATTATTTTAAATTAATTCAATTTTCTTGATTTTGCATTTTTAAGAAATAAAATTGCAATTTTAAAAAAAATTTAAAATTATTGTTATATTACATTTTAAGGGTATTTTTGTCCATAAACATATATATATATATATATTTATATCCAATCCTACTGCTCTCCAAATATAAGATTAGATATCAGATAATTAATCCTATCTAATCCAATCTTATCTTATTATTTTAATCTTGTCCAATCATATCCTGTCTATAATCCCAAACGAGTGCTGTAAATGTTCTGTTGTGGTTGATACACTTAACTAAAGATCTAAAAAAAAAAAAATCTCCCTCCACCCAACTCTACATGTTCAAAAAAAAAAAAAATTTGTGAGACAGAAACACCGAAGTCGATCAAAGCAACTGAAGAATCAGTGCCGAACAGCTACGTAGTCGTTGTCAACAGTTTTTATGAGCTAGAGACCACATATGCGGACCATTACACGAATTTTTTAGGAATAAAGTCTTGGCATATCGATCCAGTTTCACTATGCATTAATCGTACTATTGAAGATAAAGCGGATAGAGGAAAGAAAGCATTGATTGACCAATATGAGTGATTGAAGTGGCCTTTCTTTTTTTTTTTTTTTTTGAACAGAAAAAGTAATATTTATTGAAACAAAGAAGGAGTACAAGGGGTATCCAAACCCATAAACATCTCAACTTAAAAGGAATAGATTTAGATAGTCAAGTGTCCCTTCCATTTGGTGTCGACACCAAAATTAAGTGTCAACACTATGTTCGTGTCGGGTTTTGGAAGCTCAGCCCTCGCATCTGGCATCGACACCAAAATTATGTGTCGACACCACGTCCGTTTCGGATTTTGAATGCTTAGACCTCCCGTTTGGTGTCGACACCATTGGATCCTTTTTATGAATTCAGATCTTTAACCTTGATTTATTGCCCTATTTTGCCATCTTCTTGCTGTAGCATCTCTTAAGCAAGATACTGGATCTTGGAGCCAATCTGATATCGAGAAGAGGCTGCTTTTCATTTTATCATTTTTATATTTAATCCAAAGATAGGATCTCAGTTGGATGAGTTCAAGAAGCTTCCCTGGATTGATCTCTTTGCCTTGGAAAATCTTTTGGTTTCGAGCCAACCACACAGACTAAACAAATGAATTCCATATGCAATCCCACCCTTCTTTGATGCTTGGCTCTCCTAATTTTTGAAAGGTATTTCGACAGTCTACTTCCAATGAAAACTTAGTCCCCCACCACTTTGCACAGGCCTTCCATAGCCATCGAGCGATCCTGCAACTTAAGAACAAGTGCGTTGTGTCCTCTTCTTCTTCAGCACATATTTCACACTTGCTTTCTCTCATGTCTTTGGTGATCCCTCTTCTCAACAGGTTCTTTTTAGTTGGTATTCTATCCAATAGTAGTTGCCAATTGAAAGCTGAAATTTTGCTTGGAAGGGCGAAGTTCCATATTCTTGTAAAGATTGTAGTTCCGGTTGATCCTTTCTCCTTTTTTGTTAACAGTGCGTAGGCTGATTTTGTTGAGTATTGACCGTTCTTGTCATGAATCCACTCCCAGTTATCAGGGCGCCCTTACGAGACCTTCATATCTTTTATCATGTTCTGCAGTTCCATCGTCTCTTCTGCTTCCCACTCGAACAACTTTCTCCTCCATGTTAGATTCCATTCCCATGATCCGTCTCTTTCGCTTCCCATTTGGTTGCACATGTGCGTCTTTCTTGTTGAAAGAAGATATAGTCTTGGAAACTTGTTAGCAAGACACCCCTTTCCCCCTCAGTCATCCCACCAGAAACTAACGTTATTCCCCTCACCTATGTTAATTCTAAAACCTTCCCTCAACCAGCCTACACACTCCCCATCCATAGTGTTCAAACCACAGACATCCTTCCACCATATTGACCTTGCACCATTATTTCCAATAATCCAATCTTGCCAGTGTCCCCCTCTCTTTCCATACTTCTCAACAAGAAATTTCTTCCACAAGCTATCCCTATTTTCTGCAAGCCTACCCCACCATTTTCCCACCAACGCCATGTTAAATTTCCTTAAGTCCTTCACTCCTAGGCCCCCTTCTTCTTTCT